ACTTTCGGGGCCATATCCGGTTTTATTTAGTTATAAAATTGATTGTTCCGTACGCATATCCCCAGCGTCTCGCGACGAAATTGACCAATTTCCATCCACTTAAGTAGGTGACTTGTGTGTCGTTACCCGAAGAAAGATGCTTGAAATGAAGACCAGGGCAACTAAAATGAAGGATTACTTTATTAGGGATTAGTGATAACTACCCGAATCTTGCCTTCCAGTCATCGGCATCAAGTCATCGTGCTTCTTCAGGATTGAGTGAATATTCGCATGCATAAAACCATGTAACCAAACCCTGAAACTTCGTGCACATGACAATGCAGAAATGCAGCTCGGCTTGTGAGGAACAGTGCGATTGAGAAGGAGGTTAATAAGCGAGTTCAGAGAAGGGTTCAGAGACTGTCAGTTACATACATAATGCACGATACTAGCAACAAGAAAGTTTGTTTTGCAGATAGATGCTGGAATTGGCAGAGGCCAGTTAGTTTATGGCTTACGTGCAGGTCATACAAAAGTAATCCATTTTCCGGTAACTTTTTCAGAGCTCTGCTGATGGGACACTGCTCAGCTAGCCGCTGCCTTAGCATGCAGGCGGGATACGACGGCATTGCCATCGTAGCGGATGTGTTATATTGGATGATAACAGAATATTGCAATAAATGAATCGCGAAATTACACTTCAAGCACGGGGTACACAGCCTCTCATGCCTGGCCTGTTGTTCCAAGCCGTATCACGTTTGTCATTCATCAGCAGTGCGTTATTTTTCGGTGATCAACAACAGGAGTGTAGCAGCGCCGGGAGGTACCGTGATTCCCGGGGCCTGGCGCCACCACATTGCTATGCCATTGATATGCTACAATGACCTCAATAATCTGAGGCTCTGCTGCTGCAACGCGGCTGGCATCGACTGCAGTGGGAGCGGCGGGTCTCAAACCCTCCTGTTGGCTCCAAAGACACAGGGAAGGAACTGGTCCGTGATCGAAATTTCTATCGATGGCGCCGAAGCCTTTACCAGCGCACCCCGACGCAAGTTCGGCAGTCTTCCTGGCCGACGGGGTGGCGAAGTTGCCCTCGTTTATATTGAACTTCACACATGAAAGCGAAATTGTTCTTCTTGTCTTCACTTAACCGCGGCCTTCGCCAGCGCTGGGCTACGCCACTGGAGGCGGAGATGCAACATCATAGTCATCAGCCCGCGGACAATCCGCTTTTCCAACCTGGGCTGCTTCTCCACGCTTAGAACTATCGGAAGGTGAACTTTTCCTGCTGTCTGTCGGTCTGCAACACGACCCATGACATTTGTTAAAGATAATCTCAAAGCCATGGACGGCGTTCGTCCCTTATTAGGAGCTCACGTGCAGCCCACATTGGGTAAATTTCCGAAGCCAGCTGGTGGGGTCCGAGTCTGGGGGAGCCGTTCGCGTTCGAACGCCACCATCTGACCCGTGGGCTCTCGCGAGATTTTGACCGGACTGTGGGCCGAACTTCGTGGGCTCTTGCGGTTTAAACGTTTGATTAGTTAGACTAGTGCAATTTTTGTTCTTACTCCGTCTTAGAATTATCCAAAAATCTGAGCGTGGTGCCAAATAATACAGTTATGAAGACCTGTAATCGGATTTTTACGAGAGCCCCAGTGACAAAAAAACCCATTGCAGACATAACATCGCTAAACGAAGTTGCACAAGTGGAACAACTTTAAGCAGTCATCTCACTGAAAAGCTCATAAGTAACAGCCCCAATTTTTCAAAGCGTGACCGGTTTACATTCACAAACTCAGTCATTAAGATGCACCTGTATATGTACCATATTACATAGTGCACTATACCATATACTACACCTGCGCCTATTTTGAGGGTGATGTGCACTTAAACTGTGGTGTTTATACACAAACCAAAACTTTCTCGTTGTATGCACAAACCGAGCAGCATAACAATATCAATGGTCAATGAAATGACAGGAAAAACGTATGCTCTTCATTGTCCTAGCCTCGCTTACTTGTCAATACCGCCCCAGTTATTGGTGTATGAAATGCGGAACAATTGTCGACGTAGAAATAAGCTTCGTTGTTGATGCAGAGCTGATCTGTTTATACCGGAAAGAACATACAAATTGCGGTCGGGACAAAAGCGACTCGTACCTATGAGCATCAACCTTACTGCCATTGCCATTAGTTTTCAGCATATTTGTCTCATTGATACTTTTGCTTTGTTTGCTTTTTCATCTCTTCTGATACCTGTATCTGCATACAGGTCTGTGTCCAAAATGCCATTTCAAAATATGACGTCAATCTAATATTTGATGTCAATCGAAACTCGGAGTCCGCAAGCAGTCTATGTGAAATGTGGACAGAGGGCCTGGATAAGATATGCGCAGTTTTTTTCTCGTTTGGTAGAAATGCCGCCGCAGCATTTAACGATATCTCACGATCTTTTTGTGGCAGTGCTAAATGTCAATGTCACCTGAGTGGCGAAGATTCTTGGACGAAATGTTCTTGTTATCTTGGTGTGTACGCCGTATTACAAAAGGCACGGCGTTGGTTTTTTGGGATTGCACAAGGATAGTGGTGAATGGTTAGAGGGAAATATGGATCATTTCAAAGCTTTCATGTGGCATGTATTGTGTTTGTTGTATGATGTATCCACTTATGTACAGAAAACACCATATGGAAGCCTGTATGACGGTTATGATATCGCAGTGGTTTTGACACATTTGAAAGGTGTTTGCGCCATGTACGGTGTAACGAACTGAGGAAACTCCCATGACTGGAAACACCTATATTTTTTACTCCATGTGCAAAGCGGTCAGTTGGTGCATGCAATTCTAGAAGGCATAGCCTGTAGAAGCCGAGATTAGGTTCAGGGTGAAATCTCGGGTACATGTTGGTGTATCAGCACTTTGGTACAATAGAGATTCCATAACCCAGGTACTTTGATCATTGTTGTCTAAGCAACATCACTGATGTTATCCAAGCGATGTTGTGCATTAGATGACACTGGCATGACATTTGACGCACACTTTATGTATCGGTCTTAAATGGGGAGAAATGTACAAATGCAGATTGCAACAAATGTAGTGCCTGCGAGTTAATGCCGGGTCATCGTTGTAGCACAGCGGGGTTTTGCGGGCTGGATCTCGAGTTGGCCTGGTGGCCGGGTTGCGGGCCGACGTTTTGGAAAAAGCTGCGTCTCTTGTCCAGCATGCGCTCTGCCGTCCCGATGTGTATTCCCCCCCCCCCCCCCCCCGCCTCCATACCGCCCCCGCCTCCCTGTTTGGTCAAAGTGTTTGAGAAACGTGCGCCGGGTGCCCGTTGTTGTCTCCTGACTTTTACCTCCTCCTCATGAAAACGAGACCCTAGGGGCACCCGTGCACTCCTGTCCGCCTTGCGCGGGGGAGGGGTGGCGGCGGAAGTGGCGCCTTTTGGCGCTCGGCCGCCAGCTGCAAGCTGTGCTTTTCGACGGAGTCGTGTCAAAGAAAAGAAGCCGCTCATGCGACCGTTGTGTCGAACTTTCCCTAAACTGCACGGTGTTTTGTGCATGTGCTATTTCTCCCACACGACCTTTTCATTATGAAACACGAAACGTTGCGTATACACGAGCACATCACGATATTTGGACTAGCGAATACTTACAGCACCGCGCTGCCATCTCTCGGAGAGTTTGAAGTACTACAAGTTAGTGCCGGGTGGCAATATTGCAAAGCTGGTTTGGCAGCACCTCACTGTCACACTAATGTTCCATGACGCAATCAATGATGTTTGGAGGAGCATATTTACTAAATATGAAATTTTGTTTCTAGAACAGTGTTTTCCTCAAGCTTAACAGTGAAGTTAGCTCATTTCATCATATCTGATGCTTTAATATCCTCAAATACAGAACATTCTCTTTGAAGGGAGGGTTCCACACATATGTGGTTTTGAACTGAAATAGCCATCTTGAAGATCATTCGGTGCAGTGGAAAGCCATGCCCCTCATAAAACCCAAACCATTCAACTGAGCTAAACGCCCGCGAAAAGAGGGGAGTGTCTAAAGGTCACCTTGGCATTCTTGACTCCACCATACATCGTTCAAATCCTGCCATTCCATAAGCCATGCGGCCATTAAGACGAAGAAAAACACAATTCTTGAATCGCCATTATCCAGCGTTCGCGAGGACGATGTCCAGATACAACGGCTTTCCATTGGCTCTCATTCAATGTTATGCAAGGCACTATGACGTTATCAAAAAATGACGCATTGTGGAGCGTATTTACTAAACAGATATTGTGTTGCCTGTCCTTTTATAAGTCTGTTCTGCTTATAGTATACCAATAGTAATAAGCTTGTCTCTAGAGCAGCCTTTTCCATAAGTCAGCTCATTTGATCGTATCTGATATTTGCTTTAATATCTTGAAATGTAAAATATTCCCTGTAAGCTGAGCTGTCAGTCTGCCTAACGAATAAGACCCTGGTAGCATTATCGTGACAGGAAAGCTCCGTAGCGAAACCCGTTCTTTATACGTGCCTCATGCAAGCAGCATGGGGTTGAAACACAATCTCATGTGGGCAAAATGGAGGTCCACAGCGATTACACCCACTGTACTTGGCATTCATCAGACTGGGCACAGCTGTAGGCGGTCAGCCAACAGCTGCGCGCATGCGTCAGACCCGCGATGAGTGCACCGCCAGTCGGGGACCCACCCGCTGTCGGCCGCAAGGTCTCAAACCTGACGAGTGGCTACCAGACAAAGGCAGGGGGTCCCGGATTTGTTTTGCTTTCGGGGCACTGACAGTTTTTATGTTCTTTAGGAGCTTGTGTAAAGGAAGGTATCAGGAAATGATTGGGATGAGTTAATACTCGACGTTTGAAGCAGAGCTCTGCTTGGAGCATCGAGCGTCGAGGATCTTCGTTCATTGTTCGCCATTTTCATTTGTTCGCCGTGACACTCCCCACTACGGGTGTGCCTTTGCCATGCGCTCCGTGCCGTGTCCAGCCGTCTCTTACGCATCTGCCGCTTTTTCAGGCTCACCACCCCACGGGCGGCAACCGAACCCTGTGGCGAAGCCGCAGCCGCAGGCGGAACGGGGATCGGAGCCGGAGCCCAAGCTGGAGCCGGCGGCGAAACCGGACCCGGAGCCGGAAGTGGTACCGGCGCCGCCGCCGCTGCAGGCCGAGTGCAGCGTGTGCGGCGAGCGGTTCTGGCGCCAGGACGTTCTGGTGCAGCACATGGCGGCCCACCAGGCCACGCACCGCTTCTCCTGCCGCAAGTGCGTGTTCCGCTGTCGCACCAAGCACCAGCTGGCCGATCACATTCGCAAGCAGCACGTCACCATCAAGCGGCGCCATCAGCCAGCCGTCGGGGTGAGTTGGCTTCCTCCCCTTCCGCTGCCGGAGAGCGGGGCGAGACCGCGTCCGGTGTGAGACGCGAGGCGTGGGTGCTGCCCATGTCGAGCAACTCATCAGCAGCATATGCATTTTCAACCGCCGAACGATAGGTGGAACATGACGGGGGACATTCGGGCTCGCCGCCCTACGGGCAGCAACCGGGGCCTGGAGTACAGCCGAAGCCGAAGCCGAAACCGAACCGAAACCGGAACCGGAATCGGAACGAGAACCGGAACCGGAACGAGAGCCGGAACCGGAACGAGAACCGGAACCGGAACGAGAGCCGGAACCGGAACGAGAACTGGTACCAAAACAAAAACTGGATTTAAAAGCTTGCGGCGTTTATTTTCTAACCACACACCTCTATCGGCGATCTTCGGGTAGCAATGTTTTGCGGAGATTTGCCAACAGGTTCGTAGAGACGCATGATTTGATAAAACTGCGGTCGGCTCGCCATAAGCAGGACCATGTTTTTTGGACAGGAATGAAGCCACGTCTCTTTTAACCGAAATTTTCAAAACTTTCTAAGAACGGTTAGTGACATCTCTGTCACAGACGCGACAAAATAAATTCCTACATCCTTGAAGGGCCCAGGTTCATAAATGTGCAGTACTGAAAGGCGTACAGACTTATAGAGCTTGCTTATGTACTTTTAGGGCTTACGAGGCTTACATACAATAGCATGATCCAAGCCGATTGATCCGTAGATCAAATGATCCCAAAGCCCGCCTTGCTCCACTCAGCACCGATGCAAACAACAATGGCGCAGCCAGCATGCGACGCCCTCGACCGAATCACATTGCTAGTTGCCAGGCCCAGCATTTTCCTAGAATTTGGGTGAAAGAAAGGCATCGGCTGAAGAAATGTCTTACGGGTTCTCGTTTAATAATTTATTTTTTTTAGTTGGATACCCGTTGTTTACCTATTGCATGTTAATGGAAGTCGTCGAAGCAACATCTTTATGCATGTTAAACACATATTAAGACCTCAAAAAATATGATATAGCTTTTAACACATTTTCAGTGCATTTCTTTCGTGAAAACGGCTCATATATTAAATCCGACAATGTCTTTGATCGGTGGTGAATTCGTGTTTATTTTCCGCTGATCTTAAACGTGTTTCTTTTGATATCTGTCAAAAGCGTCCAAGATAAGACACTTTAAATACAACGGCACCCCTAAAGAAATGAAACACCATTTCACATGTCCAGAATCACGTAAGTTGTTCAGTGCATCAGCGAGGGACATTATTCACATAGATAAGCCAGTAGTATTAGCCTTATTCCTCGGAATAACTAGGGTGATAGAGATATAGTTAGGTTGATATTTTGGCAACATGCCTTTATCGAAACAATAGCAGAAGTGAATTTGAATTCGCTTCTGCTGTAGTTTGCGGAAGTGAATTTGAATTCACTTCTGCTATTGTTTGCAGAGGTGAATTGTAATTCACTTCTGCTGTTGTTTCGATAATGACACGCTGCCGAAATATCAACCCAACTATATCTCCATTATCCTGGTTTCTCCGAGGAATAAGGCTCATTCTACTGTCTTATTTCACATACTCAAAAAAGATGTCCCAACAATTTAGGTATACAGCATATTCGAGTTGCCATACTTATACCTCCTATATATAGCTTTACAATGTTGACTACCGTGGAACTGCTTTCACGGGAATACGCTCTTTGTAGCCAGGAAGTCAAAATTAGGTCAGTTGCTGCACTGCTGAAGGCCAGGCACGCAACATTGCACGCTGCAGTTGCAGCAGCCACAGCGCAGACCGTTGGCTTACAGACTGTTGCGAGTGTTGAGGAGAAATCGTTTGCTATGGCCGTTGTACCAGCAAGCAGATCTACATTGAAAACCACGAAGAGGAGGAAGGTTACACGTAGTGATGATGACTATGAAGAGCAGTGAAGAAATGTGACGGATGCTGACCGGTAGTACGTCGCTCAAGGTCTTTTAAGATGTCGTGACGCTACTTGCAACCCATAGTAACCCTGATGAAGAGACATGACACGACTATCTATGGCGCGAATGCGGTCGGTCCCGGTGACTCAGTTGGTTAGAGCGCCTGCCTTCCGATTTATCCACCCGTGGCGGGGTGGGTTCGAGTCGCTTTAGGCGCTCGCAATTTGTCCTTGATAAGTATAGCCTGCGGTCGGTAGCAGCGACCGCGTTAAAGGTCAGTTGATATCATAGGGCAGGGTGAATCGTGCCAAGCATTGCGGCACGTTAAACTTTCGCAATCAAGTTTTGCCGTCGCCTGGAATTGCGTGATCGGATGGTGGGGTCAGGGCTCACACAACAAGTGCTGCTTAGCGTGAACTCCCATCCGAGAAATCCAGTCATTCAAAAATTTCAGATGAAATTATTGTTAAAAATTAAGACGTGAAAAAATCCAGTTAGAAATAAGAATTTGTTAGCATTTAAGATGACGGCGGCCACCATCTTGAGTTATGAGAAGGCTCAAGTTTGCACAAAAAGCAGCCAAGCTCAGTTGGCCTTTCCTTATTATATACAACATATTTCCGTGGAAAGTGTGCAGTAGTGAACATTGCAGGGTCAAAATTTTGGCGACTTGCCTAGTTTGCACGGGCCTTTGAAGAAAAAGTTATGCAAATACACAATTATGCCATCTACACATTTTATGATATTACATTGCAAAAATCGCACATTCACGCTCAATTCCCTGAGGGCGAGAGTTCTCCCGTCATACAAAGGCAGGGTACCTCGCGTGCCCATTTGCTGGCTAATGTTCGGATGCCTGTCTAATATATGCGGCTTCTAAAGTTTAAGCTTCTTTTCTGACTGCACTTGGCTATGATGGTCGTGTTATCGACCAGGATGTTCCGGGTGGACCGTGAGCCATGCGCCACCTTTAAGTGTCTTTCTGGAGCACCATTTTGCAGGCGCGTGGTGCTGCGGCGAGACATGTTGTCTGACCAATATGGGATGAATTGTGGCGGCACGCACAGTCACCAGGAGGACCACCAGAACTCATACACGATATTGGCGGGCTTAAGAGCGGATCTGTCGCGTGCTAAGTTGTTGGTCATGATCTCGCCAGATACATTTTGATCATTTTGCAAAATGTCTGTGTACCTGATCCACTCCAGCGCTACGCCTTCCCATAGAGGTCCCTATAAAAGTCATTGAAATATGCGCTTAGGATTTACCTTTTCATATCTCACAGGGGCTACTGTTCCGCCAAACTGCGCGGCGTTTTTGTTGCCAAAAGCTATAGCGTGCGTTTTGAATTAATGACGATCAGCAGCATGGGTATCAAACCCCACATATACTGTAGATATGTTGATGACATTTTGGTGGATACTGAAAGTGCGCAACAACTCGTCTCCCTAAAAGCAACAGTTGGGGAGCACGCAGTTGTTCAATTCATCGTTGAACCAGCTGAAGAAAAAATGTCGTTCCTTGATGGCCAAAGTCACGCATCTCATGTCACCTTTTTACATCTCAGAGAGCCCAGTGATATTGGACACCGCTTGAAAGGTGCTAGTGGGTGTTCTGATCAAGGCAAAGATGCCTTATTCACGAGTGTGTCCACCGCGCCGAAAAACGTTATTCGACCCAGACATTGTTCATCAGGAGCTGCAAAGGATAAAACAGATCTTGCCAAACGACAACCACAGATTGAGCAACGTAGACGGCCATACCGAACAGCAACTACACCAATGCTGTTTTCTCGCACCGCAAGAGATTACGAACCGACTAACCTGATGACGACCAAGTCAGGCAAATAAAGCTATTCTTCTAAGGAAGCATGTCCACCGCCTACAAAAAGGTGAAAAGAGTTCTTCGTGAAAATGCCCCGAAAAATTGTGTACCCACTAGACCTCGAGACAAAATTAAACTTGTTGTTTTCTACAAAGACTAAGCTGCAACTGGCCAGATCATGACCGACCACTTTGTGCACGACAAAGCCGCTCTCAGGGCTGCCAATGTCGTGGGAGTTCCGATGGCCTCTCGCTGACTTAGCACGTCACAGAGACGCACCCATATTGGTCACACAATAGTACTGTCTCGTCGCATCACTGCGCACCTGAAAATTTCTGGTGCTGCAGAAAGACACTGAGACGTGGCGTATGGCTCATGGGTCACCCGGAACACCATAACACCACCATCATGGCCAGATTCACTGATGAGAAGGAGCCTACGACTTGATATGTCTTTATGGCTTGTGTGATGTCTTTATGACCTGAAGCTATGACCCGTCTTTATATGACAAAACAACTTTAGCATCCTGGCAATAGTGTGGATGTGGGATTCTTGCAATGTAGCATCACAAAATATGTGGATGATATTTATATTCATCCTATTTGTGTATCATTGTTTGCATCAGTGAGTACTCGTGCACACTGTATATCTTAATCGTTGTGATAGTTACATTGTATGTATGAAATGATGTTCGACTCCGACGGATTGAAGGAATTTCAATGAAACATATTCGAGGTTGCGGGAGAATAAACATGAATTTGCTACCGATCCGAGACACTGGACAGTATGCCATGATGTCATTGCGCCTGTTTTGTATGTCTGATGGTGTGATGGATTTAACGAAACATTACGCGATAACAATTCCGGCCAATCCTGCATAACTTTTCGAATCATGGTTATGAAGATGATAAGGAGCCTAGAATACCTGGACAAGAAGAAAACAAAACGCAAAATATTCTATCATCTCCTCCCAGATGTTATATATATATATATATATATATATATATATATATATATAATATATCACAGTTTCACAGTTTGTGTCAAAAAATCCCGCCACCTGCATCCCATTACCAAATTTGGATCATCTTCTCCATTCATTTCACACAGATCAACTACGATTCAGGTGAGTGATGAGGCTGCTTCCCTGCTCTGTCGAACTGAGACTAGCGTGGAACCCCCCATCCACAACTTCAGCAGTGTCATGGCTGCAATCACAACGCTGTCGTGCAGCCTGGGCGTGAA